CTAGCTTGAAGGTAAACGATCAAGAAAACCTTTCTTGAGATTTCTTGTATTAGTTTCTTGAAACTCTATGGACAAGGATTATGATTTTCATTAGTGATTCATAATTGTATGGAGGAATTTGAGTTGGAAAGAATGAAATTATTGGAGAAGGATTTACCTTGAAGAAAAATCTTGAAAAATAGTGAAAGAATCTTGAAAAAGATTGAAAGAATCTTGAATGAAGTCTTCTACTTTGATCTTTCCTTAGGGTTTTACCCTAGTGTTTGAGCGAGAAGAGAATGATGGATTAAAAGATGGAAATAGGATTGTTTAGGGCTTTATGGGAGTTCATTCAGGAATCCATTTTAAGGTTTTCCTAGTGGTATAAGGAGAAGAAAATTACATTATTTAGAATTTTTCAGCGGCTAAAACAGAACTGCACTACACCAATTATTTAAATGGTCATAACTATTTTACTCAAAAATCTAATTGTTGTGAAATTGGTGGCGTTGGAAAGTAGATTCAAATACCTTTAATTTGATAGGTTATGGGCCAAGTAACTCTTTTATATTCTAAGAGATATGGTCGTTTGAAGTTGACCCAAGTAGAATCTTACATCAAAACTTAATCAATAAGGAAACTTTCAACTCTACTTTGTGCTAGGGGATTCTAGTGACCTTAATTCATATCCAAATCATTCCTAAACTAAAGAATTTACCTTTACACATATGGGTAATTTATGAGTCACTCGATATGACCCTACAAGTAAATGAAGAATGGTTTGAGTCTTAACTTAGAAATTTTCGGGGTTTTACAATATCTCCCCCTTGGGATCATTCGTCCTCGAATGATGGTTAAACTGCGAAAAGAAGGGGTTACTCTTACTATATTCAAGCCTAACTCAAAATCACAAAATACTTAACATAGGGTGATTATTATTATCTGAATCATAAGATTCAGGTTGTATACCTCTGTAGGAAATCTCATCCCAAGAACACTACTCCTTACCGCTACATTCAGTTAACCTTGAGCTCATATCACGAAACACCTAATTTATCACTCATTGTCCACATGTTAACAACACCACATTCAAGATTAGAACCTTAACCACTCCATAGACTCCTACTAAACCACTTTCTAAGGACTTCTCATCCTCTAATCATCTCTACCAACTGAACTTTATGCTTTACCCCTAGAAAGCTGACTTAGTACTCATTGTAAAACTTTATCTCCTTCTTCTTCCACATTCATAACCTTAGATGGAATAAACACACCATCAATATCACAATAATAAATAGCAATCCTCTCATCCATCATCACACAATTACTATCAACAACACCACTCTCTAAAACTAAAAGAGATTACTGGAAGGACCTTAGGGCGAAAGATCATAAGCACGATTCATTCGAGATATCTGATATAAGAATATGCATGGCATAATATTATGTTGCTAGCCATTGAGAGTAAATCATGAATTTGTGAGACTGAACATATTGTGAGACTTGAATGCTTATATGAATAGGTTCATATCATGAGGTTGATATCCATAACTTTATGGATTAAGCTTGAGATTAATGGGCTAAAGTCTTTGCCCCTCATTTTGAAAACTGAGCATAGATGTGAATCTCTATGAAGTGTATGAGCATAGGTCATGAACACAATTTTGATATAAGAAACATCATCATGATGTTGAAATGACTGAACTTTGAGGAATACGCTAGAGTATGAATGGATTGATGTACCTCTAAAACTTTTTCCAAAAACATCATTGTCTCATCCTCAACACTTGACTTGGTTTCTCATCTTATCATCTCCCCCATAGGTCTAAAGCTAACACTTGAAAACTATGAATCTATTCCCTTATCTCTAAACTGGTCTACATTCCGTTTAATACTCGAGAAAGGCTTGTCTCATGGCTATGAAATTCTCCATAAGCAGGTACTAAGACTCATTTTAGGACCTCTTTCTAAGATGCTTCTATTAACCTCTTCTCATTGGCTTATAAGTCCACTTCATTTAACTCTTAAGGAGAAAAAAATTAATGCTTACATCAACCTATTCCACATTAACAACTCAAATATACTATCTAGGCACACATGAAAAATCATTAACTCAATTGGAACCTCATCTGGTTATATACAATCTCGGGTACACCTCTTTATGCTCTTGTTACTCTTATGACTTAGCCACACTTCACTGCCCTTATCTAAAAGTTAGGATCTCTCACTTGTATCACTCATATTTATTGTAGCTAACATCTCAATTCCTCACCTACTCTATGTCAAGTCTACCAGATAAGATCTCAAGTCTAACATCATCACCTTCATGTTGTAATTCTTTTTATCACAATGCTCATCTCAAATTCAAGCTTAATGTTTATTACTAAACTCGGATATCAATATGATTGCTC